TCCTTTAACTCCAAGTTCAGCCACTAATTCTTGCAGCCCTCACAAGTGTGTCACTCCTCTCTTAGGAATAACCTTGATTTTGGTTATTCCTAGGTGTTTGGACATCCAAAGCCTTCCTCCAATGGAGAAGCAAGCTTCCCAGGCCACCAAAAAACCTTCCAATGTTGGCTTTCTTTGTAATTTGGCCTTCCACACCTTTAAGAAGAACTCAACACACCTTAAGTTGCTGGGATATATATGGTAAAACTAAAAAGGAAAAATTATAATAAGCTACACCAAATGGTAGAAATAGATGAAACAAGACTAGAAAGAATTCCAAATAATGACAAGCAAAAAATTAAGGCACCAAAGAAAGGCTAACACACAAAGGAAAACCTATCAATGGTACTAGAGTAGATTACAAAATAAAATCTAAGATTAAAAAACAAAATAAGACTCAAAATCAAATGGTATGTGGCTGGACAGTTCTCAAAACAAGCTACACAAACCAAAAATCGAGAGCAAATTACGCAAAAAATTTCTACTCCTTGGCTTTTTCTTGTACTCTTTCTTTGTGATTCTTTTTTTTAACTTCTTTTGCACTTTTTCTTTATCTTTTGTACAGGAGTTTAATGCCTTTTTCAACAATGATATGTCTCGGAATTAATGAATTAAAACTGCTACCAAAGTTTTCACAAAACAAGAGGTATACTAGTGAAATTGTTTTTCTAGTGCTTCACAATTTTTGTACAATTTTTAGGTCAATTTTCAAGCACTCTTTTCTTTTGTTTTTCCAAAGCTTTTTGAACACTAATACCTCAGTTTTGTCTCTGTTTTACAAATTGAATTATGGAGGGAGGTGAGCTACAAAGAGCCACTTAATAACCAAGCCTCTTTAAGTAAAAATCTCTAAACCCCATTGTACTTTTCCTTGCACAAAAGTTTTCACAAAGTATTTTTCAAAAAGATCCAATACACAAGGAATATGTTCTCTCCATTCACCATTACTCTCAACAAAAGATAAAAGTTTTCCAATAGAATGGAAACAAACAGCCATGCATGCTTTTCCAAGTGCAGTAGATGATTCTTTCTTATGGCAATAAAAGACTTGGACATTTTAGCTACTCCACTTTAAAGCATGAGTTCAAATGACTTAGTTAAAAATCTGCCTACAATCCAAGATAATGCTAATTTGTGTGATGTATGTCAATATGGAAAGCAAAGGAAACTACAATTTCCAAAAGAAGCTAGCTGGAGAGCCACTGAAAAATTACAACTTATACATACTGATGTGTGTGGCCCAATGAGCACATCTTTAAATGGAAGCAAGTACTTTCTACTGTTTATAGGTGGCTTTACAAGAATGAGTTGGGTGTTTTTCTTAAAGAGAAAGTCATATGTATTTGCCAATTTTCAGAAGTTCAAGTTTTTGGATGAAAATGAAACTGGATGTCAAGTTAAAAGACTAAGATCTGATAATGGAACCGAGTACACAGTAGGAGAGTTCAAAAAATTCTGTGAACAGGATGGAATTCAACATCAATTAACTATTCCTTACACTCCTCAACAGAATGGAGTGAGTGAAAGGAAGAATAGAACAAATACGGAAATGGCAAGGTGTTTGCTCTTTGAAAAAGGCCTTCGTAAAACCTTTTAGGCTGAGGCTGCTAATACCTCAGTATACTTACTGAATTTGTTGCCCACTAAAGCCTTGAAGGGTAAAACACCTTTTGAGGCATGGCATGGAAGAAAGCCTTCAATGGAACATCTCAAAGTATTTGGTTGTGTGAGTTATGCTCTTGTTCCAGAAGTGAAAAGAGATAAATTGGATCAGAAATATGAAGTTGGTGTTTTCTTGGGGTACAGCAGTAACTCTAAAGGTTATAAAATTTATAATCCAGCAACTAAGAAGATTCTTGTCAGCAGAAATGTAAAGTTTGATGAGCTATCTAGATGGAATTGGGAGAAATCCAAAGCAAAAGCCTCAAGCAAGTTGACAATCTCCAAGAACAAAATTTAGAAAGTGAAGAAGAAAATTTGGATGATGATGCTGATTTTCCCATTAGAGGCATAAGAGATCTGGCTGAAATTTATGAAAGGTGTAATGTTGCTGCACTTGAACCAAAAGGATATGCCAAAGCTGCTGAACTTGAAGGTTGGAGAGTTGCTATGCAGGAGGAGATGAATATGATCAAGAAAAATAATACTTGGCAGCTTGTAGATAGGCCAACTAATCAAAAGGTAATTGGTCTCAAGTGGGTTTATAGAACCAAACTTAATTATGATGGTTCTGTAAACAAACTTAAGGCTAGATTGGTTATTAAAGGCTATCATCAACAGCAAGGAGTTGATTTTTTAGATACATTTGCTCCTGTTGCTAGATATGATACAATCAAAATGCTAGTGGCATTAGCAACAAAATTAGGTTGGAAGATCTATCATTTTGATGTGAAGTCAGCCTTTTTAAATGGTTTGCTTGAAGAAGACATCTATGTTGATCAACCTAAAGGTTTTCAAGTTAAGGGAAGTGAAAATAAAGTCTATAAACTCCATAAAGGTCTTTATGGCTTGAAATAGGCACCAAGGGCTTGGTATACCAGAATTGATAATTACCTTTTGCAAAAAGGCTTTGAAAGAAGTGAAAACAAAGCCACTCTGTATGTAAAAAGGTCCAAGAATGAAGTGCAGCTCATTATATCATCATATGTTGATGATATGGTGGTCATAGGGAGTGATTCTGATTCCCTTAAACAATTCAAGCATGATATGGAGAATGAATTTGATATGTCAGATTTGGGACAAATGAATTATTTTCTTGGAATGGAGATATACCAATGTGATACAGGAATCTTCATGTCCCAAAGAAAATATCTCTTGGAGATATTGAAAAAGTTTCATATGGAGAAATGTAAACTAGTGGACACTCCCCTTGTTGTAAATGAGAAGCTATCACTTAATGATGCTAATGTTAAAGCTGATGCTTCTTTGTATAGAAGCTTAATTGGAAGTTTGTTGTATCTCTCAGCCACTAGACCTAACATAATGTTTGCTGTCCATGTTTATGCATTCCCCTAGTCAAGCTCATTATGGTGCAACAAAACGAGTTTTGAGGTATTTAAGAGGTACAACTGATTATGGTTTGTGGTTTCTACAAAATGAGAGTGGAGAGCTTCAAGGACAAGGCAAAAAAAGGGTTAGATTAGAGGGAGGTGGACTGGTCTTTCTTTATAGGACAAGGCAAAGACATATGGCTATTTCCCAGGGAGAGAAGCCACGCTTTGCTCTTGATGGTAATTTCGAAACGAAAAAGGGTATAAGAACTGTTCTTGGAAGGCTTTGCTAATAGTGACTAGGCAGGTAGTATAGATGATTCCAAGAGCACCTCCAGCTATGTTTTTTCATTCGGGAGTGGTGTCTTCACATGGAATTCAAAGAAACAAGAAGTAGTGGCCCAATCCTGTGCTGAAGCTGAGTGTATTTCAACTGCAGCAGCTGCAAATCATGCTATTTGGCTTAGAAAATTTTGTATGATGTGAAGCAACATCAAAATGAGTCTACTATCATATTGGTCGATAATAAATTAGCCATTGCAATTGCAAAAAATCTTGTCCTGTATGGTAGAACCAAACACATCAAAGTGAAATATCATGCCATCAAAGAAGTAGAGAAATCAAAGGAAGTCAGCTTGGAGTATTGTAGCTCTGAGAATCAGATTGCAGAGATCATGACCAAAGCTCTCTCCAAGAGCAAGTTTAGAATGTTGAGATCAAAGCTTGGAGTATCCAAGAAAAATCCCAAGGAGGAGTGTTAGAATTTGAGATTTTTCTAGATACTTTAAGAAAATATTAAATATTTGTGTTTGTTTCATTTTCTATCTTAGTTGCTACTTATATGGTTAGGTGTAGATAGGTGTTAATCCTTATTTCAAGGGATTTTTTGTTGCTTGGTCAAATGTTTAGGTAAATCGGAGTGTTTGTCCTTGTTTTGTGGAGATTTACTGCTGCCTATGTACTACATATCAGAAACCTCCTTGACCTATATTGGTGTAATGTAATTTTACGTTAAAAGTGTGAAAGAGTAATGAAATGGTGTCTGGCCACTTTTCTTATTCTTCCTTTGTAGCACCAAAATAGAAAGTTTACTTCCCTGTTCAAGTTTTTTGTTATAGATTTTGTTCTGGTTTTTAAAATGTTCAAACAGATAGATTGTGAGAGTTTCATCCCCTTTATACTAATCTTGCTAATACTGGAATTCAACACCATGTCATTTGTCCTCATACGCATCATTAGAATGGGGTGGTAGAGAGAAAACACAGGCACGTTGTGGAACTAGGCCTTATTACACTTATGGCTTAAGAAAACCTTCCTATGCAGTTTTAGGATCAAGTCTTTCTCACAAGCTTTCTCCCTCTACTGTGACGCATTCCTGTGCTGCATCAACATTGTTCAAATCCACTGTGGTGGCAGTGAGGAGTTGCTTGGGAAGGAGTAAGGTTATGATACGGAGGCTGCAACATAATCTTCTGAACCTCGTATTAATCCAAAGGTTACTACTTGTGGAGCATGGTTATATTGGTCCATTTTAGAATTAGTCACATATATAAGCAAAGCCAGAATTTAATAAATTATTGACTTAATTGAACTTTCACCCCACCTACTTTCTCAATTTTGTAAATTTTATCCCTATTTTTTCGTAAATTTGAACATACTATTACTTTAATCATATAATTTTAGTTCATCTGTTAACATTTGATATTTAACGAAAATATTGACATTGTAGTGCAGTGGAGTGTCAGGCCAACAATCTTATTAAATGTTGAACGTTACCACAGAACAAATAAAATTGCTTAATCAAAATAGTGGAAATCAAATTCACAAAAAAAAAAAAAATTGGAGGAGGACATTTAAAAATATTAAGAAAAGTGATCAAAAGTGAAATTAAGCTTAAATTATTTAAACATATTGTAGTTAATCAGAAGACCAAAAAATAACTAAATAAATACAAAGGATAACATTAAATACCTGTTCACACCTCCCAAGCTTCTCCTTTTCTCCGGTATAGCCCTATGCAACAACTAAAAGGTGTTGTTAAATTTTCGAATAGGAGATTGATCATATTAGGGAACTCAGCTTATTATGTCACTACCTTGAGTACTTTTATCTCCTCTTTTGTAGGACAAAATTTGATCAGGTTCTCAACTTGATCAATGTCTAATGCAGATTCTTCTAGTGCTAACACTGATCTCTGTTAAAATTGCAAATAAGCCAATGATTCATGAATAGTACAATGAACCATAATTCCATCTATTTGACTAGATGATTGCATCACGAACTATACTATAGAAAGAAAAGAACAAAAAATGGGGATCGTACTCTCATTAAGTAAATAATTATTTCAAAGTATCTAATACAACATAATTATAGATATGATGATCAAAATGAAAAAGTAAGATGATACCCCGTATCTTTGAATAATAATTACACCATATCTTTGAATAATATTTGATTTTCTATACTTCTTTCTCAAATCCAGTAACAGTTAAGTTAATCTTACCATTAAATCATGCAATGGCACTTTCACTTTTGAAAGAACGATTTCACAATTATACGCTCGTGTATGCTCAATCTGCAGGGGAAAATAATTTATATGTTGATCAAAATGAAAAAGTAAGATGATATCCCCTTTAAGGGGTGGCCAATAAATATACTTATCAGTCTGTTAGAAAACTGCAGCAAACAGATAAACATTCATATTTTACACACTGCACCAAAGGAGTGAGCACTTGTAAATTGTAATTACATAATATTGAGAAAATAAAACAACACAAATACATCAATATTGTCCTAGGGATTTCCAAATTAATTTGTGAACATCAATTTGAGACTTAACTTTGACATCTCTAGAAGTGTTCATCAATGACTTCACATTGTCAACTCTAAAAGTGTTACCTAATAGTTATATTATGCTAGTATGAAACAATAACCAGTTAACAAACATAATACCTAGCATTAATGTTTATTGCCTTAACATATCAGATTCAGATTTAAACAACCATATGATGAAAAGGAGTAGAGGCACTCTCTGTACCACTAGAAATTGAAGCTCAATTACCAGTTGCACTTTATCAGATTTTGGCGCAAGAGAGCTTTTCGCATTTGTTTTTCTGGAAGAGCCTGAACTTGGGACAGCAGTTGAGAAAAGACTTTCAAGCTCTGACATATCAATCTCTGGAGCTCTACATTAAGATAGTTAAACCCCAATCATGTGAGATACAAGGATAGTAAAAGGAATATCAGTCATAGTAAATAAGAACCCATAGCCAAACCAACATTACTTGGAATTTTCACCAGATTTTTGTGTCTCTGCCCACAAACTTCCTTTCACTGCTCTAGACAGTTTCAACCAATGCAACATCTTCAATTTTTTGGTTTGACCCATTGAATTTGAATGTGATAGAAATCGTCCCTTTCTAGAGCCAACGGATGAAATAGATGAATGCCCTGTGCTTGACACATTATGTCCTCCAGCACCCATGGAAAGTGACCGCGTAAAACCATTGTCTTCTTGTATACCTCCTTTACAAAAGGAACCTGGAGGTGGTGGAGCAGCAGGAACGGATGAATCAAAGTGATCAGAGGAAAGTGTAGTGGCGGGAGGAGGAGGTGGCGGTATCGGTGGTGATAAAGTTGGACTTGAAGCTTTTTTGGAAGGACATGGAGGTGGAGTAGGAGGGGGAGGAGGGGCTCCAGAATTGATAAGTCTTTCATCCTTTGGATTTGGAGAAGGAGTTGGTGGGGATGGTGGAGCTCCAGCTCTACTTGGTTCGTGTTCCTTTAGTGGAGGAGTTGTAGGAGTTCGTGGGGATGAATGAAGTCTTACTCTAATTGGTTCATGTTCCTTTATTGGAGGAGTGGGAGGAGTTGGTGGGTATGCATGAGGTCCTGCTCTAATTGCTTCTTCTTCCTTTGGTTTAGGAGTGGGAGGAGTTGATGGGAATGAATAAAGTCTAACTCTAATTGGTTCATGTTCCTTTAATGGAGGAGTGGGAGGAGTTGATGGGGATGAATGAAGTCTTACTTTAATTGGTTCATGTTCCTTTAGTGGAGGAGTTGGAGGAGTTGATGGGGATGAATGAAGTCTTACTCTAATTGATTCATGTTCCTTCAATGGAGGAGTGGGAGGAGTTGTTGGGGATGAATGAAGTCTTGCTCTAATTGGTTTATGTTCCTTTATTGGAGGTGTTGTTGGAGACGCATGAGGTCTTGCATTAATTGCTTCATGTTCCTTTAGTGGAGGAGTGGGAGGAGTTGATGGGGATGAATCAAGTCTTACTCTAATTTGTTCATATTCCTTTCGTGGAGGAGTGGGAGGAGTTGATGGGGATGAATGAGGTTTTACTCTAATTGGTTCATGTTCCTTTGCTGGAGGAGTTCGTGGAGATGCATTAGGTATTGCTCTAATTGGTTCATGTTCTTTCAGTGGAGGAGTGAGAGGAGTTGTTGGGGATGCATGAGGTCTTGCTCTAATTGATTCATGTTCCTTTAGTGGAGGAGTGGGAGGAGTTGTTGGGGATCCATGAGGTCTTGTTTTAATTTGTTCGTGTTCCTTTAGAGGAGGAGTTGCTGGGGATGCATGAGGTCTTGTTTTAATTTGTTCATGTTCCTTTAGAGGAGGAGTTGTTGGGGATGCAAGAGGTCTTGCTCTAATTGCTTCATGAGTAGGATGAAGTGGCGGTGTTTGAGGTTGTGAAAGGGAAGAATCAAGTTTTGTTTTAATAGGTAAAATCTTCTTTAGAGGGGGCGGTTGAATTTTTGATGTAATTGTAATTGCAGAAGCCAGAGGCTGGGCATCTGAATCATCTGGTGACTTATTCTGAAAAGCACATGACTGACTTCTATCTTGAGATTGGGATTTAGTTTCTTCAGTAGGATATCTTTCCTTCGAAGGTGAATCATGATGGAAATGTGAATCCTTGTGAGGATGAGAATCATGAACTTCTTTGACACTCCTAGTCAAGGGAGGCAATGGCGAAGGTGTTTGGGGTGAAATTGTACCACTAGAAGAAGTGTCCGCCAAATTAGATGGTATTTTAATTGAAAGATCTGTACAACCTGTTACACAGTTGTCAGACTCTGAAGTTCTTTCCAAAGGACCAGGCATTTCCTTTCCGATGATGTCAGACTTACTCGGCTGTGGTGGAGTAGCATCAGCTTTGATGGACTTCTCCTCTTTTCTACTCACATTGTTATCTGATGACTGCTTAACTGAGGTCACAAACTGGTTTTCCATATTTGAAGACAAGAAGCAATTTTCTTCATTCTTTTTTTCCTGAGCCATTTGAGGACCTTTTCTAAGCGAAAGGCTACCGCTCTCCACATTCTCATTTAAGCCTGTATTCAACATTTCATGTATGGTATTGTTAGGTGAAGCACACTTATGTTTGAGCACATTTGGTGTAGGAGCTTCCATGGGATTCATCAGGTCTTCTTGAACTTTGGAAAATGCTTCAATTGGAATTCCTTCCTTCTGCTCAAAGCACGAGGTGCTCTTCTTACTAACAGCTGTAGAAGCATCCATTTCTGAGAAAAGAATCTTTATGCGACCATAAATCAAAAAATATATTTCATTAGGAATATATGATTTTAAATGATAGCACAATTATAGATGGAAAAGAGATGTACCTCTGCCCTGAAATCCTTTGGGAAGTGATCTTTAGCACACCATAAAACATCAATTTTGTCACGGTTAAGTAATACATTAGATCCCATAAAAGCTGCATTGAGCATGACTCGGAACATTATCTGCTCACTCTTTGTGTCACCATTCAAGTCAATGCTCTCAATAAGGACATCACCTTTAATATGACAATTAATATCGACTTTAATTGTGTCACGGTCTCCCTACAACAAAGTATAGAGGAATTGCAAAATAACCGGTGTAAGAAATATATTGAAGAAGTATTGTTGGAGATGCTGAGTGTTTAGGATTTAATTTCGCAAACGTTTGTTAGGGCCATCCAAAGTCACTGAGACTATATATAGATAAACTTCTCAACACATATTTATAGAAGAAAAAAAACACATAAAATGAAATATATTTCTCTCATACTCTAAAAATGTATGTATAAACTAACTTTTAAAATCTCTCATTTTGCTTTTCTAAAAGTTGATTTTAAATTCAATATGTGTGAATTTATTTTTAACAATTGAAATTATGATTGATGACAGCATTAGAATTTGAACCTAAAACCTTGTGTATATCATTCTAACTCAACCACTAGTGTATGTCAATTTTAACTTGTAAGAAAAATTAAATTCATTTTACCATCCTGTTTCCTTTTTCTATAAATTTTTGTTTACAAATTCATTCAAATGACCTACTTATCCTAACTTTTTTCAACTGTTAGATGGAAGCTTAAGAACCCTCCCTAAGCAAAGCTTTTAGAGCTTAAAATACAGATAATGCGCAGATCTAGATTACCTCATATAGAAAGTTAGTTTAAGGATAAATCACACACTTAATGGCACATCAAATCCATAATTTTCATCTCTCAATATTTAATTTTATCAATTTAGTTTTACCAAATTTGTAAATTCTGCAATTTTGTTTTAATAGTTAAATATTCATAAATTGACGATAGTTAAAATGATAAAAATTTAGTAAATGTCAAAATACTTAATATGTAAGAATAGTTAGACTATCTTATACTAATCTTCAATTACAAAGTAATAAAAGGATAAAAATCAAAATCAAAAGTACAATTTATTCTGCATATTAAAATGTTAATGTCATTTATATTTTTATATTAGAATATAATTAATCATAATCAATATTACAATTTTATTCTAAATTATAGATTTTAGAGAGTTGAAAATCAAATATAATTAAAAGATAAGTTGCATAAACTTAAAAATGTAATTTACAATTTATATTTTTAATTAGTTTCATTATAAAGAATGATAGCATCAAAGATGTAATATCTAATCATGTACTGCTGCAATCTAATATCATGCGAAGAAATTATAGAACTTTCCAAAAATAATACTTTTGTCGTTATACGCACAAAAAATCAGAAGAAATTCTAGAACTTTCCAAAAGGTACCTGTTGGCATTCCCGGGGATTTTTTCTTGTCTCATTTGTGGAGTGTAGCAATTTGGGATTCCCATTCCCATGCTCAACAAAAGGATCCCGTCCATAAATTCTCAACACCGGAGCGCCACCACCTTCGCCACCAAACTTCGGCATAAACCTGAGAACGACGCAGTCCAACCTCACCACTCTGCTCAACGTAACCGAATCCAACGTCCCGTTACACGTGGCAACGTATCTCAGATACCTCAACTGCGACGGAATCTGGTTCACTGCCATCAACGAATGCAAAAGCTGCCTCGGCGCCAGTTCGTAAACCGTATCCAGCGCCCGTTTCTCTCCCTCGCACTGTTTCCGAAACAGCAACAACGCGGCAAGCGCGAACGCCAAAACGGGCCACGCGCCTCGCTCGCAGTGCATCAAAACGACGTCGCGGCGGCCGCGCGAGAGCCAGGTGTCGCAGGACCTCAGGAAGCGCCACGTGTCCTCCGCTTTGAGCACGGGGCAACCGAGGTGGTGGCGAGGGTAGTCCACGAGAGTAACGTGATCGAACGCCCTCGCTCTGGTCTCCTCGTCGCGGAAGTTGCACACCAAAATGGAAGCCTCGGGCGCGCTCTTTCGAAACTGACGGAGAACCTTTTCCACGTATTGCTTGTAACGCTGCTCACCCCATTCGTGTTGCGCGCCGTAACAGCAATTGAAAACTGCAGTTACAGAAAATGTGGCGTCAAGGATGAAAAAAAAAACAAAAAAAGTAAGGGGAATGAAGGGTACCGTAGATTCTGTCAGAGATCTCGAGAAGGCCATCGGGGGGCTTTCTGAACAACAATTTTCGCATCATGTTCCTCATGGCTCATGGATTACGGAACCAGAGGGGTGTCTGTTTTTTTTTTTCTGGAGAATGTGAAATCGAATTAACGCATGATATAACGTGCCACAATGAATGAACGAAAGGGAGTTTCGGGTTTTGTTTTGAGTGGGACAAATGGGAAGCCGTGGAAACGACGAGTTGAACTTAGCAATGTCAAATGTGGACGATGCATGGATGATCTTGTGTCACCTTGTTTGGATCATAGCCTTTGGATATGAAAATTTATGACAAAATAATCTCTTATTTATTTATCTATTGTATCTATCTCCATATAATCTTTCATTCCATATTCCATATAATAAAGGATACACATGTCACTTATTAAAACATTTTTCCTTTGTTTTATAAAATATTTTCCTACTCAAATATTTTTACATCTTTCATATTTATGAGAGAATTTTTTTTTTTACAAATGGGTCTTGATATACTTAGTTCGTTTAATAACTTATGTTTTATATCAAATTTTACCTATTCAATTTTTAAATTAAAAATTCTTAATGCATAGATAAATTTGCAAATTTTTAAAAGAATACTCACTGAGAGCCAGAAGTGGCTGAACAAAGAATACTAGCGTTGGTGAGTGAAGCTGGCATGCTAGGAGTGGTCGATAATACTTGGAGAACTAGAAGTGGTTTAAAAATACTAGCGTTGGTGAGTGAAACTGGCGGGCCAGGAGTGGTCGAGAATACTTGGAGAACCAGAAGTGGTTTAAAAATACTAGCACTGGTGAGTGAAGCTGGCGGGCCAGGAGTGGTCAAGAAGACTTGGAGAACTAGAAGTGGTTTAAGAATACTAGCGCTGGTGAGTGAAGCTGACGGGCCAAGAGTGGTCGAGAATACTTGAACTAGGAGTGGTTCTAACTTGGGTGGTTCATAATACTCACTACTAGCCTGAAGAGGCTGAAAAGAAGATACTAGCGTTGACGAGTGAAGTCAACGTGTCAGAAGTGGTCAACAATACTTATGTACTTCATTTTGATATCTAGTGGAACCCTTCAATTGAAGGAGACTAGACGTAGCTTAGTTGAGCGAACCAGTATAAAATGAGTGCATTGCTTTTCTCGTTTTACTTGGCACAAATCATTCTTACTGATAAAATCCTTGCGAAAGACTTGGTTCAGCATTTAGATATTGTTTAAATCATTTTCCAAATGGAGACGCAAATTCAGTTTGACAAACATATTATACTGAAAGGTCTTATCTTCTATTTATCCCTAAATGAAATCATCTTGAAAAGGAAAATGCAAGAACTTCAATTATCATTGTAAATCATTTTCCTCAGCAAACGATAAACCTTTCAGACGCAATGATCCTGTGTTAAAGAAATTTTGCGTAATCGTCTTGCATCCAAAAAATACTTTGGACGAAGAATGTGGCTTTTTGAAGAAAATGTTTTAAAATGTCCATCCTTCACATACACACACATTCAACCCCCCTTCTATGTGTTATTCCGCTAACTTCAATTAGTATCAGATCTTGACCGCTTGGGTTGAGCATCTAACAATGTAGGGGTACAAAATGATCTATGAAAGAACAAGGACAAAGGAAACCTGAAAAGTGAGGAAGACGGACAATTGGTATAGGTAAAACAGGTACCATTTTACTTATTCAAATGAAGCATAATCTACACTATATTAGGATAGATATCGTCTGACATGCTAGAATATCCATATACGTCTATCGTCCGTATAGACAGTGACACAGTAAATTACTGCGTCTGTATACTCCTAAGGATACTGCAAAAAAATTACAGCGTCTAAGACTCTTCATCAGATGAAGTGTGTAAACCACTTCTCTTGTGTCTGAAAAATTTAGTTCATCAAAACATCATTAATGAACGAAGTGCAGTCGGAGACAAACATTCTCCGCATTTAAAAAATAAAATACTTAAATTGATAAATGACAAAACCATCATTTGGGGGGCTTTGTAGACCCCTAAAATTGTCCGGATCGGAAATAAGACTCGAAGACTCTCGAAGACCGAAGGAAAGTCAGCCGAAAGGACTCCTGGAAGACCCTGGAAGACCCTAGGATGATTCTTTATAGGTTTAGAAGTCTTAGAGTAGCTTAAAATAAGGATGTGGGAGGATTGGAGCTCAATACGGCCTCCTAGAAGTTCAGTACGGCCGTACTGAACAATTTGAACTACAATACGGCCGTACTGAAACCAATACGGCCGTACTGAAGTTTTTGAACTTCAGTACG